TGTGCAGCCCCAGCCTGTCTCAGCCACTCCCTCCCCAGAGCTCACCCCACATTTCCACCGGCATAAAATCCCGCAGCCCGGCGGCCGGGGACCATTCCAGCCCAATGCAGATTTCACAGACGCCTGTCCCAAGCAGGGGAAACGTGCCAGGAGCCCCATTTAACCCCACCAGGGTCTTGGCAACTGCCGCCGCTGTGGCCCGGAAGGAGCCCAGATACCACGGTGAGAGGCAGTGGCTAAAACCCGGAGACAGCGGCGCTGCTTCAGCAGGCAGGACACTGCAGCTGCGGCCGGGAGCTTTGCTTTGAGGAGGGGTGGCCCACGGCAGCAAGGCCAAGGCGCCTCGGTCGCTGAGCAGGAAGAGGGGAAACCAGGTGAAGGAGACCGAAAATGCAAAGGAAACCGGCTGGGGAGAGGCCCCGGGCTGCTGCCCGGAAGCTGGCAAAGGAGGGTCACTTACGCTTGTCGGTTTCGCCGCCGGGCACCGACGCGGTCGGGGTCTCAGAGATGCTCCTGCCGGCTGCGGGGGAGCCCTCCCTGTGCTGCCGGAGAGCCGTCCCGACGCAACGGGGGAAGATCTGCCAACAGGGACATTTTATCAGGCCCTGAAAAGGGAACTTGGGTGCAGGAGGAAGCGGGGGGGGGCAGCTGTGGGCTCCCTCCCCCCTGCACGTGTCAGAAGAGGCTCCGAGTCGCAAAGTTGATTATTAAGAGTGTAATGGAGAAACGGCTGCCCCATGACCCACAGCTCCCCCCCCGCAGTCATGTGACATGTCTGACCCATAACTAGCCGGAGTTCCAGTCACACTGCAGCGCACCCTTCAGTCACGCCCCAGCTGATTAGGAAGCCAAACACAAGCCAGGCACTGAACGCTGCTGCACCTGGCCCCACCCAACAGCTCTGGAGCTAAAGGGACCGGTCCGGGACTGGGAGAGTCGGCGGGTTGTGGGCCAGGATCGAGGGGCCTTGCAGAGCGGATGCAGGTGGAGCCCCGGGCTGGGATGGCAGGGCGGTGGGTCAGGACTGAGGAGCACCCCGGGGCTAAGGGCAGACGGGGGGCAGCCAGGGCTGGAGTAGCAGGGGGCTGTGGGGTGGGAGCGAGGGCCCCGGCAGAGCTGGGGGCCAGGTGGGAGCTTGCACAGTGCACGGCCACACGCCACGGCTGGGGGCAGAACCCCTGTGGCTGCAGCACCCCGAGAGGTCAGTCCAGAGTGCGTCGTTTGACTTCGGGAGGGGAGGGGGCAGCTCCAGGCAGGCCAGTGGGCTGCACACGGGGCCGATTACCTGTCTGAGATTAGCGATTGGAGGGATGCCCCCAAACTACGCCCATGCCAGCAGAGTCATGGGGGCACTGGAGCTTGTCCCAGCGCCTTGCCCCGGTGACATGAGGCCCAGCTGGGAGACTCTGTCCAGTGCCCAGGGTCCTTCACTATAAGCTTCCAAGCTCCAGCTGATCCACTTTCCCAGAGGCTGCCAGCCTGGGTCCTGACCCCTGTGCCCCTGCTGTAACCACTACACCCCTCTCCTCCCCAGAGCTGGGGAGAGAAGCCAGGAGCCCTGCCCTCCCCTCCCCTCCCCTCTGAGTGAGCCCGCTGTTGTGCACGATAGCTGTGCACGGGGATTTGCACTACCAAACGGCAAGGAATCCCCCCACCCCACCCCCCGCCATCCAGTGTGACCAAGGCAGGTTAGTGTGGGCAGGAGTTTGCCAGGACTCTTGGCCCCGTCAGTGGCTCTGGCATAAGAGTGGGGCCTAGTGGTTAGAGCAGGAGGGTGCCGGGAGGGGCTGGGAGCCAGGGCTCCTGGCTTGCGTTCCCAGGCAGCTCTGTGGAACGGCGCGTGTGAGACGCCCTGCGACGTTATGCCACTGTCTGAAGCGCGCTGCAGCCTTTCCTGGCTATTTATAGGAAGCTGCGAGCCCGGAATATCACAGCTCCTGCAAGATCAAGCAAGGATCCCGCCCCCCAGCTGCTGGCAGGGAGGGAACCAAGGTGGCTCCGGGAGGCTGCGTCAGCGCCAGGAGAATTCCCGCTGACTAAACGCAGTTCTGGAGAGGGACCCTGCTCCCCAGCTCTAACCACTACACCCTACTCCCCTCCCAGAGCCCCCTGCTGTAACCACGAGAGCCCGAGCGGTGCGGAGAATCCAGGCATCCTGCAGCCAGAGCCCTGGATCGGCCTAGTGCTGGAAAGAGCGTCTGGTCTGGGTTCCCCGGGGAACCCTGGAAACCGAGCCTGGCCCCCTCCCCCTCCTGCTCCTCCAGGCTGGCCCCAGGCTGAGTCAGACACATGCGGCTGTGGCACCGAAGGGCTGGGCCACAGGCCAAGGCAGGTCAAGGCCGCGTACCCATGGGGGCCCCCCAATGGTTAATCCCAAAGCAAACCCAGGCAGAGGGGCCCCTGACCCACTGGATTTTAAGAGAGGCGGGTGGTCTGCTGGGGGGGGCCATGAGGTCAAGCTTCTCTCCCGGGCCCTGGGGGGGGGGCAGGACTCCTGGGTTCTAGCCCCGGCTCTGTGGGGGGCGGGACTCCTGGATTCCATTCCTGGCTCCGGGAGGGGAGTGAGATCTTGTGGCCAAAGCCTCCCTCTCCCCAAAGGATTTGGATGTGGGGGTTTGAAGAGAGAAACCCCGCAGGCCCCTGGTGTTGCAGGGCCTGGGTGAAAGAGCACCCCCACACTCCCTGCAGGAGATCTGTCCCCTCCCCCAGCCTGCACTGCCCAGCAGTAAAGGGGGGTTGTGGTGCCCCACCTGCACAGCTCACACTGGGGGGTCACAGCGGGGGCAGACACACCCCTCCCCGCAGTCACACAGGGCCTCCCGATTCAAAGAGAACCAGGCAGAGATCAAGGCCGAACCTGGCTCTTGGAAGCAGCCAAGTGGAGAGAGACTGACCCAGTTCAGGACAGCGGCCTGGCTGGGGAAGGGGGGTCCTTACCCACGATCCGGGGCAGCTCAGCACCTCGCCCTTCTGTCCCCCTGCCCGGAGCCAAGAGGATGTTGTTGTGTGTGGCAGCTGAGTAATCCCTCAGAGACACCCGCCCTCTGCCCTGAATTAATTACCCTCTGGTGAATCCAGGGACTATCCCGTGGGAGGGCTGAGGCCCAGCCCCCAGGAAAGGCCAGGCTCCCCATGCAGCAGGGAAGGGCTGAGGTGCAGGTAGGAAGGAATCTAGCTGGAGCAGGCACCTGGCTTCCATCAGAAACTGGTGGCCTTTGAGAGGTTCTGCCAACCCCAGGGGGGAGTAGGAGCAGAGCTAAGCCAGGGCCTTTCATCCCCCCACGCGTCTTCATGATCGTGCTGGGTCGCGCTGTCGTGTTTCTGGCGTAGACCCTCGCCCTGCGGTGGCAGCCCACGCACCGAACAGCACCCGCTTTTCTGCCCCTCGTGTGATTCCAGCCGGGTGAGTGTCCACTCCAGTCATTCCTCGGCTCCGACCCCCAGCACGGGGCGACTGGCTCCAAGGAGGATGCTGGGAAGGCAGAGTGGCTGCAGAGAGGAGCCATGGCAAGGGCCGGAGGGCGAGAGCCGTACAGCGTTGGGGCGTCTGAGTGCCTCGAAGAGGGAGCAGGGACGTGGAGAGCGCGCCGGCGAAGCTACTGGGGGCCGGGGGAGAAAAGCAGAACAAGACCCCACGGCCGGACGCGCTCAGCTCAGGCACTCAGTGTGAGTAGGCGGGTCATTTGTCACCCGACGCATGTCCCTAGGAAGTGGCAGATTCCCCGTGAGTCACACACCGGGACAGCAGCGGTCACAGTCTGGGCTACTGGGGGGCACAGGCAACCCATGTCCTCCAGGGGAGGGGGCACCCCGCTTCAGCAATTCAAATCTGGGGGCGCATGACCCCCCATGCCTCGCCAGCTGGCCCTGGTGGAGCTGAGCAGCCCGGAGCCCCCAGATACCAGTGTCGCTGTATCCAGCCCAGCAGTGAAAGGACGCTGGGGCGCCCCGGGGTGCCGCTTTGGCAAGGAGCCAGCAGGAGGCGCGGCAGCTCGCCGCTGAGCAAATCCCCAGCCTTGCGCCGGGCGCCCCCCAGTGGCCCCAGGCCAAACTGCAGCGGTTTGGAGCCAGCTGTTTCCACTCGGAGCCCAGCTGCTGTGGGGCTGCCTTGTGTAGAAGGAGCAACACCGCCCCCCAGTGGGGCAACTAGGCCAGCGCAGCCGCTGAACGTAGCGCAGGGCTGGCTTGGGGACCCCCATCGCCCTGGCCACGAGACCCCTCCCCCAGCTGGGGATAGAACCCAGGAGCCCCGGCTCCCAGGCCCCCGACTTGATGGGGGCTAATTTCGCTACAACTAATCAGGAAAGAGATCTGGGAGTCGTGGTGGCTAGTTCTCTGAAGACGTCCACGCAGTGGGCAGCGGCAGTCGAAAAAGCAAACAGGATGTTAGGAATCATTAAAAAAGGGATAGAGAATAAGACAGAGAATCTCTTATTGCCCTAATATAAACCCATGGTACGCCCACATCTGGAATACTGCTACAGATGTGGTCTCATCTCAAAAAGATGGCATCGGAAAAGGTTCAGAGAAGGGCAACTAACATGCTGAGGGGTTTGGAACGGATCCCATAGGAGGGGAGAATAAAGAGACTGGGACTTCTCAGCTTGGAAAAGAGGAGGCTAAGGGGGGGATAGGTTAGAGTCTATAAAATCATGGGCGGGGTGGAGAAAGTGAATAAGGAAAAGTTCTTTACTTGTTCCCATAATATAAGAACTAGGGGCCACCCAATGAAACTAATGGGCAGCAGGTTTAAAACAAACAAAAGAAAGTTCTTCTTCACACAGCACAGAGTCAACCTGTGGAACTCCTCGCCGGAGGAGGTTGTGAAGGCTGGGACCATAACAGAGCTTAAAAGAGAACTAGATAAATTCATGGAGATTAAGTCCATCAATGGCTATGAGCCAGGCTGGGTGAGGAATGGTGTCCCTGGCCTCTGTGTGTCGGAGGGTGGTTCCCTCCCTCTGGGCCACCTGGCACTGGCCACTGTGGGCAGAACTTTGATCTGACCCAGTCTGGCCGTTCTTATGACCCCAGAGTGAGGCTTTCTGCTGGGGATGTGGGTCTCAGGTTTGGGGCACTCCCGATGGGGGCTGGAATCCTCTAGGGAAGGGGCAGCTGGGCCCAGGGCCCCAGACCAAGGATAAGATGGGGAGAGCCTGCAGGGTGCAAGGCTGCCTCTTAGGGCTGCGGGGGCCCAGCCCCCCAACTCGGTCCAGGGGGAATCCAAGCACTGTTTGCAAAGGGCGTCATGCCAGGGACAGCTCTGCTGCAGGGCATGACTGACCCCCACAGGCATGGCCCAGCCTTACCCACACGGTTCTCTTCCCAGAAGACCCCCTGCACCCCACTCCCCTCACAGAGCGGGGGCTTCTGTGGCAGCAATGGGCAGCCTAGGCTAGTGGGCGTCCCTCCTCCATCTCAGTGGGCCACAAGATTGGCACAACCCTGGCGGGCCAGGGGAGCGTTGCTCACTGCACCTGCGGGCTGTGCCCGCTGACCCGTGGCAGCGCTGTGACGGGCTGCAGAGGGAGCGCCCGGCTAGTGCCATGTGCAGCCAGCACCCCTCTTCCCGCACGGGCCCTGGCTGTGGGGGACGGGCACTTTCGG